AATATCGGTCCAATATTGGTCAATATCGGTCCAATATTGGTCTAATATAAAAACAATTTTTTTGACCAAAATTTTTTTGGCCAATTTTTTTTTCCGAATTTTTTTTGGCCAAAAATTTTTTTGACTCAAATTTTTTTGACTAAAATTTTTTTGACCAAAATTTTTTTTCTCAAATTTTTTTTTTCGAATATTGGTCAATATCGGTCTAATATTGGTATTTATCGGTCCAATATTGGTCAATATCGGTCTAATATAAAAAAAATTTTTTAGACCAAAATTTTTTTCCGGAAATTTTTTGGGCCAAATTTTTTTGACCAAAGTTTTTTTGACATAATTACTGAAAATTTCAAGCTAACAACGGTTACCATGGCGTCGGTTGCATACGAAAACTGTAAAATAATATCAATAATAGTACCATGTACCGTTGCCATGGTAACCGTTGCTACTTGAAATTTTCAGTAAAATTATTCCAAAGTCGGACCAAAATTTTTTTGACCAAGATTTTGTTGGGTCAAAATTTTTTTGACCAAAAGGGTATGGGCGCATTGCCATACAGAATCGGCCCCACCCTGGTATTTAAATAATTTATACGCCATTTCATAGGTCTATTTGATAAAAACCGATATACCAATTTTCAACTTTGTACCTCATCTACTGGCCGAGGTATCATTGAAAATATGCCAAAGTGGTCCCTTCTTTCAAACTCACTTTTTGGCGTAACCATAAAAGATATCAAAAAAATTTTTACGTGATTCTACTCACATTGACTCAGACCACATTATGTAGAACAATCGATTTCAAAAAATCGTTTACTATTAGCTGAAAAAGACAAAATAATTTTTCAATTGATTATTTCGGGTAGTGCATTTATTTGGACCACTTTCTAATTAGCGTTATTCAAAAGCCTATTGTTTTTTCTTTGAGTACTGCAAATATTGTTCAAATCAATTTAGTGGAACACATTGGAAAATTGAAAAAAACGGAGACAGTACACCCGCGCGTAACGCTAATAGTATCCTGCAATTGCATAGGGTTCGTTCGGACGCAAAGAAGTGCGCGATGCGCCGAAACGATTCTTAAGAAATTCTGAATGCGAAAATATTTATTTTATAATATTATATGTATAAATTCACGGAGTTTGAAATTTTTAGACATTATTAGATTTACTATATTAATTAAATCACTAAAACTAGTGGTGTATCGTGCCTTAAGGCAAATTACTGGAACTTACCGTACCTCAATGAAATAAGAATATTAAATGCTTTCAAATATTATAAATACTGTAAGTTTTATTATTCGAATTTATAGACAAAATAAAAGTGCTTATAAATTGAACGATGGCGTTTAAATATGTTAGCCTGAAAAGTGAACGAATAAAACTTAATGAAGCGGAGTTAGAATGAAGGATATTATCTAAGAATTGCATAAACTGAATGGCAAAATTAAAATTATTTATTTGATTCGAATTATTTTAGAAAATAATTTTTGAGAATTAAAAAAAATATGTTTTTGTTTTGAAAAACAATCTTATCGTCCAAAAAGGCAAAAGTTTTTTTGAATCATTTAAATCAGATTTTTCGTTCTCTTAAAAACTCGGTTTCTATCTTTGCTCCGTATCTCCGACTTGTATTTGTTAAAAACTAATCACTACGTCTCCCCATCAGTAGGAATCGAATGTTCATTACATCATTCATACACGAAATATAACACAAATACACAGACACACATATCAATTTTTTCTATTGTATTCCAAAATGTTCAGAAACCTTCGAAACGTGAAGATCTGCAAACATTTTCGATTGTGATTTTTGAACGATTACAATAACTTACCGTACGGAAAGTTAAAAATATATACTGAAATTAAATGCATTTAAATAAGTAAATGCGAATTAGCTAATACAAAATTAGTTTAGAAAAAACACGATCTTTCGTATAAGCCACACAAAAGATACAAATATTATATAATATAATTTTCAAAATAAATTAAATGATATATTTTATATTATGAAAATAATAATTATTAGAATACTTTCAATAATGATTTTTGTATATTATTGAAGTATTATATAAAAAGCTTCTACATCAATTTTTTTTTTGATTTATTTTTCATAGCAAACTATACAAAGTACATTCAGCTATATTTTATTAGAGGTATATATTTCCATCAAATGACTGTGAAATTGTGGTACTGATAAAGAATGGTCACAATAAGGGCTTTATTATCACAATGTTACAACTATCATTAAAAAAAAAGTTTTTTGGATTTGTTGAAACTAAAATGTTTCATTATATCATTAATTCATATGTATACATATCATATAATTATAAAATAAATATTTTCGCATTCAGAATTTCTTAAGAATCGTTTCGGCGCATCGCGCACTTCTTTGCGTCCGAACGAACTCTATGCAATTGCAGGGTACTATTAGCGTTACGCGCGGGTGTACTGACTCCGGTTTTTTCAATTTTCCAATGTGTTCCACTAAATTGATTTGAACAATATTTGCAGTACTCAAAGAAAAAACAATAGGCTTTCGAATAACACTAATTAGAAAGTGGTCCAAATAAATGCACTACCCGAAATAATCAATTGAAAAATTATTTTGTCTTTTTCAGCTAATAGTAAACGATTTTTTGGAATCGATTGTTCTACATAATGTGGTCTAAGTCAATGTGAGTAGAATCACGTAAAAATTTTTTCGATATCTTTCATAGTTACGCCAAAAAGTGAGTTTGAAAGAAGGGGCCACTTTGGCATATTTTCAATGATATCTCGGCCATAAGATGAGGTACAAAGTTGAAAATTGGTATATCGGTTTTTATCAAATAGACCTATAGGTCTATTATCTAAAATGGCGTATAAATTATTTAAATACCAGGGTGGGGCCGATTCTGTATGGCAATGCGCCCATACCCTTTTTTTGACCAAAATTTTTTTGCCCAAAATTTTTTTGGGTCAAAATTTTTTTGGCCAAAA